TCTTTGTGAGACCCCTGCCCTGGTAGGGACAGCTCTGTCGTAGGCCCCCTGAGGACAGCTGCTGCTCTGCCCACCTGTCCACCAGGAGTCCTGACCTTCCTGTTACCTGAAGTTCCCGGGCCCTGTGCAGCTTTGGGGGTGATGGCCGACCCCACCGTCCACTCTGCCCAGCGTGTGGGCACTGTGCCACCCAGGAGCTGTGGGGGTCCTGGGCCCTGCAGGGTGATGGGCGGAGCACAGATCTAAGGCCTACACGTCCAGGACATCTTAGGCAGCAGAGGCGGCTGCCGCCTGCGTCTCCAGGCCCCGCTCCGTGCTCTCCTGTGTCCTGACCTACATCCCTGCTGCCACACTGTGCCTTCTTCTTTCTGTCTTTCCACCATACTGAGGACTTTGCACTGAGCTATATCCCCAGCTCTCTTAATTTATGCTTTGAGACAGGGTCTCACTAAGTCACCAAGTTGTCCTGGCTGGGCTCCAACTTATGATCCTCCTGTCAGCCTTCCAGAGTGCTGGGATGACAGACATGTGTCACCATGCCTGTTCTGTTACCTCCTCTGTTCTGAAGAGGCCATGGCTACTCTGCTGTGTCTCGGGCACCTCAGCTTGGCTCCCACTCCTCTCTTCCTGAGTGGAGTGGCCTTTGTCAGCATCACTGCTGGAACCCAGGACCTTGTGGCCCTTGGCACCCTCCCCCGTCTTTCTCTTACCTGGAGCTTTTGCCTAAGTAGATGGCCCTGATGAAGGGCTGAGTCTTTAACTGTGGGCTGGGTTAGGGCTGCAGGCTTGGGGGGAGGGGTATGGGTGGTGGTTTGGGGCTGTGGGGTGGGGTCCCAGTGTGGCCTCGGCCTTCCTGCTTGTCTTCTGGCCTACACCACTTGGAGTTCTTATGGCAGGCGCCTGAAGCTGGCTGAATTTGACTACGGGAAGAAGTGCTCCGAGATCGCCCGGCTAACAGAGGGCATGTCAGGCCGCGAGATCGCCCAGCTGGCTGTGGCGTGGCAGGTGAGTCCGAGGCCTATCGCTCAGGGCCAGGCAAGGGTGTTGGTCATCCAGCCTGCCGTGGTCCAGATCACAGGGTATGTGGGCCCAGCGAGCAAGCGAGCACCAGCTGCCGGGCAGATGTGCAGTGCCAGGTGCACTGAGCTGCTCTTCGGGAGCCATTGGTCCTCAGTTGTGTAGGAGGAGCTCGCTGCAGAGTTGAGGGCCAGATGTCCATGTCCGTAGATAGGCGAGGCTGCCTTACCCTCAGTGTCCTAAGGCACAAGGCCTCGCCAGCCTCCTGTTCCCCAGCCCGGCTTTTCCTCCAGAGCACCTGGGGTGGGAGCCGAAGGTGCTCTGATGGGCTTCATTTTTGTGAGGTGAGGTCTGCGCCTGGCCATGGAGGCTCCACAGTGCTGCCCGGAGTGTGAGGACTGGGTTGTGGACTGGGTTGTGTCTACACTATAGACCAGGAACGTGCAGGGCTCAGGCTGCGTTAGCTGCTGTCAGCCCCATTCTCAGGGCCGGCTGAGTACTCTGCTCTCCACAAGGGGCTGTGCGGGTAGCAAGGAGTGTGGCAGAGTGTACGTGGCTTACAGGGCCAGTTTATGTTCACATGGCGCAGCCCAGGCCAGTGCCTGGCTGGCATGGGGTCCTCCTTCCAGCCGCCACCTTGAGGCATGCTCTTGGGTGGGTGGAGGGAGCAGACTCTCCTGTGTCTGGGTGTCACTGCTGCTGAAGTCCCTGTCTGTGGATGCTTGTGAGGTGTAGGGCTTTGGTGCGTTAAGGGTCAGGTCCACGCTGCCGTGCAGCCACTGCCACATGGCTGGGGCTGTGCCTTCTCCCCGCTGATAGCCAGTCCTGCTGTGACCTGCACTTGGCCCCAAGGGTGAGAGCATAGGGTCCTTTCTGCCTCTGGGCCAGTGGTACCTGCCACTCCTACAGCCCGTCTCCTGCAGCCCATCCCCTGCCGGGTCGGCATGAAAGACACTGCTGGGCACTGCTGTTCCCAGGGCGGGATTGCAGGGCCGCATGGTCACTGACCGACTTCTTGCGGAGCCCAGCACTTACTCGGCAGCTGTGCCGTTTCCCACCCCACCCTGCGCAGGGCTCTGGTGGCCATCGACTCCGCCTGTCTGTGGTTCCGGTCACTTCGATCTGTGTCTTCTCACAGGGAAGGCTCATCTGCCCCACCTAAAGCTTCAGCCTCTCCTTTGCCCACACTGGGGCACCGGGAGGGCTGCGCGGCGTCTCCAGCCCTTTGTACTTTACTCCGTGGAGGTAGGCAGGGCCTTGTGAAGTTGTTCAGGCCTCAAACACGTGATTCTTCTGTCTCAGCCTCCTGAGGAGCTGGGGTTACGGCTGTGTGCCTCTCCACACAGCCCGTGCTTCCCCCGCATACTGGGGATTGAACCCAAGAACACTATTTCTCAGCTGCATCTCCAGCCCTTTTATTTTTAAAATTTGAGAGTGTCTTGCTAAATTGACTGGATAGGACTTGAGCTTGTCCTACTTCAGCCTCCCAAGTGCTGAGATTACAAGCATGGGCCACCAGCTCATGCCAGCCTTTAAGAACTTTTTACTTGTTTATTCTGTGGTGCTGGGGATTGAACCCAGGACCTCACACATGCTGCAGGGCAAGTGGTGCACTTCGCAGCTCAACATTTGGATCTTTGAATGTGGAATTAGGACTTTTCTGTTGAGACAGGGTCTTGCTGTGTAGTCCAGGCTGGCCTTGAATTCACTGTGTAGCCCATTCTGGCCTTGAACTTGGGTGATCCTTTTGCCTGAGCCTCTCAAGTGCTGGGATTACAGGCCTGCACCACCACACCCGGCTGGACTCAGAATTCTGACACGCAATATCCTGTCCTCTGAGAGCACCATTTGGCTCTCGTTCCATTTGATCCTGGTGGCTTTTGCACCTCTTGCTGAGTTCCTTGGCAGGGCATGGGCACTAGGCTGGGCCATGGCAGAGTGGGGTCCCTGCCTGGCTGCTGACCCGGGAGGGCGGCTGTGGTCTCCCCAGAGCGTGTGTGCTCGGCTGGGATTGGCACCTGCAGGCCTGCGTCACCCAGGGAACTCCCTTCCGTTCCCGTTACAGCAAGACAAGGTGGAGAGTTTCAGCAGCAGCCTCTTGTGCATTGCCAGGCTGCTGTGCTGGCGTGGTATGCAGGTCCTTCCCCTGCGGCCACCCTGTGTGGCTGAGCGCTTTGCCATCGGTGCCCATGAGGGCTGTTGGTCTGGTTTTCCCGCGGTGCCTTCAGCGTCAGGTGGGATGAGTTGGAAGCATTCTTTCCTCTTTGGCTTTTGGGAAGGTTTGAGGGTTGCCTGATCCTTCCAGACACTCATCAGTTAAGGAAGTTGTCAGGCTCTTGGCTCTTTTTTCACATCTTTAACGTTGTTTATTTCTTTGTTTACTCATGCATTGATCTGTTTCTGAGACACTCTCACTACGTGCCCAGGCTGGCCTTGACTGTCTCTGGGCATGAGTGATCCTCCTGCTTCAGCCTCCAGAGTAGTTGGGAGTTACTCTAAATGTAAGTTTTTGTTTGTTTTGGGACAGGGGCTAGCTGTGTGTTCAGGCTGCCCTTGAACACACTGTCACCTAGGCTGGCCTCGAACTTGTGATCCTCCTGCCATGGTCTCCTGAGTGCTGGAACTATAGGTGTGCGCCACCTTACTCAGCTAACCTTAATTTTCAATAGATTTTTAAAAAGTGGCCAGGCTGGTGTGGAGGGTGCAGGTGCTTCCAGGCCCTGGCCCGTCGCAGGTGTCATGCACACCCAGCAGGTGTGCCGGCACTGTGGGCCTGGCCCATCTACTGTCCAGGACACCCTGCCACTGCCCCTGCTGCCGCCTCCAGCTGAGTCTCCTCTCCTCCCTGTGCCCGGCCTCTCCCTGGGCTGCTACTTGGGTGCAGGGTTGGGTCTGCACCCCACTGCTGGATCCGGACAGTGAATACTGCATCTCCCCTAGCCCCTCACTCATAGGGCTGGCGTGCGAGTTCCTCGCCACAGGCTGCAGTGGGGCAGCTGTCGCAGAGGCTGCCCTGCGCGGTTCCTTGGACCACACCCTCTCCTCTGGAGGGCCTGGGGTCCTCCCTCTGTGTCCACAAAGCACCTGACCCCCGAGGCGCTGCCGGCAGACTCAGTGCTGTCCGAGAAAGGCCAAGGCAGGGGCTGGGCTGGCCCTGGGCGTCTCTGGAGACAGTGCCCTGGCTGCAGGTGACTCGGGTCTGAGCAGCAGCAGCTCAGCAGCACCTGGGCACAGACTTGCCATGTTGCCAGTGCCTGTGTCCTGTCCCAGGAGCTGCCCGGCTCTGCAGCAGGCACTGAGGCCTGGCTGTCCATGTGTGCTGGGCTCAGAGCCCAGATTCAGTTCCCTCTCTCTGCAGGCCATGGCGTATGCCTCGGAGGACGGGGTCCTCACTGAGGCCATGATGGACTCGCGTGTCCAGGATGCTGTCCTGCAGCACCAGCAGAAGATGCAGTGGCTGAAGGTGGAGGGGCCCAGCCCTAGATCTGTGGTGACCGCGCCAGGCCCTGACACTTGACCAGCAGCCCCCTCCTGCCAGGGCTGCGCCAGAGGCTAGCTGTGGGCAGCAGCGTGGTGGGGGCTCCCTGTCTCCACCCTCCCTCATGGGGGCTGCTGGGGTGGAAAAACAGCTGCCCTCCTCCCTACCTGGGTCACTTGCTGCAGCAGGGAGGAGGTGGAGTGCCATGGCCATGGCCCAGGGGCAGGGCCCTGAGCTGCCTGCCTGGCCCAGCTGGACAGTGCCCCACCCACACATGCCTGTGCCAGTGAGCCTGGCCCACACTCGGCAGGTGGATCTGGCTGTGGGCAGTGGTGCCAGCTGCTCAATGACCTGCTGCCCACCTAGGGCTGCAGCTGAGCCTTTTAATCCAAAATCAAATAAAACTCTTTGACAGACCCCTTGCCCAAGTCTCAAGGCTGACATGAGGGGTGGAGTGGGGGGCCATCAGCCCAGGGGTCACAGGGGACTGAAGAGGCGGAGGCTGGAGCTTTCTGGAGAATTTACTGGCCGGTAGGGTGGGCTTCACAGCGAGGTGCCAGGACGCTGCCGCTGGGGCCCCCCCTCCGCGCCCCCAGCCGCACACGCCCCATGCACATGCTCCCGTGTGCAGACGGCGGCCCACGCCTCCCCCCTCTGGACCCTGAGGGACAGACGAGGGACACACGGACAGACAACAGTTCACAGGAAACAGACAGCAGTCTTCAATCAGATGTGGCCTCAGGCAGGCGCAGCCCCACCCTGGCCTGTCCCCCCTGGGCCCAGCAGGTGGCCCCCAGCACCTCCAGGGCGGGGAAGCCAGGCTCCTGTCCCAAGGCCGGCAGCATCCCCACCCCAGCCCCCACCCGACCCCCTTTATAAAAAGAAGAGGAGACAGCACCTTCTGCTGGACATGCCCGGCAGCCCCAGCCCAGCCAGCCCCAGCCCAGGACACCCTGGGCCCAAGGCCGCAGTCCTGTCCTGCCCGCTGGGCATCCACGAGGTCCCTTGTCCTCCACATAGTGGCCTGAGAGTCCTGGGCACGGCTCACAGGTGCCGCGGGCTGGGGTGGCCGTTGTGGTAGAGTTTCTGCTTCACATGCACCATGTTCCCCGCGGGCTCCTCGAAGGGCCTGTGCGGCCGCCGGCCCAGCTCCCGCAGGCTGCACAGCTTGGGCAGCCAGGCCCATGAGCCATCTGCAGGGGGACAGGGCTGTCAGGTGCCGGGTGGGCGGGGGGTCCCCACGGCAGGTGCGAGGCACTCACCATAGCGCCGGCCGGCCCTCCAGGCACGCACGGCACAGTGTAGGACGCCGTCCATCCACACCAGGAACCAGCTGATGCAGAAGCCCAGCAGCAGCCCCAGCATGAGGTCAATCTCCTGCTTGGTCACATTGTCCGTCACAAAGTAGTTCTCGGAGGCGTCCACCACGGACTGGTCCCCGTCGTATGGGATCACGTAGTGGATGTGGTGCCTGCGGGCGGCAGGGCGGGCTGGCACCTCTCCGCCCACCCTTGGCGCATCCACAGGACACCTTGGACTCTGGGAGCAGGCCCCGTATACAAGGCGAGGAGCCTGGACCCAGGCCCAGGGCACGGGCACTTCCGGGATGGGGTACCACAGTCCACCAATGCCCAAGCCCATCAGCCCTGCCCAGCCCCCACTTGCTCCTGAACTGTTCACTACTCACTGTCCCCATTGCGCAGCATCCGCCTGGGCCTCACTTGTGACCCCCACCTGCCCCACTGCCGTGCCAGAGGCCGTGGCTTCTCTTCCCACCCGGGCTGAGGACTGACCCTTGCCACACCTGGGTGGACAAGGTGCCAGGGGTCCAGAGCCAGGCTGAACAGGTCCTGGGCCCTTTCCTTGGTCCAAGCATCCACATGGCTCTGATCACTCAAGGCCTCAGCCTGCCTCAGCCTCCCCACCCAGGGGCTCTCTGGGCTCAGGCTACCAGCATGTTCAGGCTGCTTGTTGGCCTCCTGTGCCTGCAGCTCCCTCCATGTGCACAGCAGGCAGGCATCTCCTGAGGGAGCAGCCCCGTCAGCAGCCTGGACACCCTGGCTGGCAGGAGGGCTGCACTGGCTCTGGGTGTCTGTGGCCCCAGCCATGCTTGCTTCTCCCCAGCAGCAGGGCCAGGGCCCATGGGGTTCTCCTGCCACGTGGCTCCTCCTCACTGCCCCCATGCCCGCTCCAAGCTCAAGCTGCCTGTGCCTGCACGTGGGATCCAGACACCTCAAATGCATGCTGAAAATAGCTCTGCTCCCCAAACCTGCTGCCTCTTCCCCGCACAGGGAGCTTCGGCACCTACACCCCCACCTAGAGAGGCTGTGCCCCACATGAAACCCCAGCTGGGCCCTTGCTGCTGCCTTGGTGCCATCCTGGGGTCCTGTAGCAGAGAAAGGGCAGCCTGGCCTTGGCTCTCTGCCCTCCCCAGCGACTGTGCAGTGTGGCAGGTTTGGTGGGCAGGGCTTCGGCTGTCCCTTGGCCAGAAGCTGAGGAGTGACCGTGACTGACACCTGGCAGCTGCTACTCACCCATCCTGAGTTCATCCATACCCATTATCCACAATTAGGGCAGAAAAATACACATTCTTTGTTCTCTGTTGTTCCCTGAGGCAGTCTCACTATACAGCTCAGGCCCCTCACAGGCCTGCACCTGCACCCCGCTCGATGGAAAACTACTGCTTCAGGAGAGGAAGGGCTTCCCAATGCATTAGGGGTCACATCAGCAACAGTGCTGCTGGGGTGCCCTGGGCCAGGACCCAGACTGCCCCAACATACCAGGCCACCACAAGGGGCCCAAATCCCCGTGGAAGCTGAGAGCACTGCAGGCAGCTGCGAGTAGGGTGAGGCCAGCCCCACCTGTTCCCCACTCAGGACTTCTGGGTCAGAGGTCATGACCCATGCCTCCACTGGCCTGGTCACTGCAGCTCTTCGCCCCAATCCCGGCCTCCTCTTACCTCCAAGTCTGGCCTCTGGGGCTGGCTAGGAGGTCAGGTGTCCGAGATACAAGTAGGATGTGCTATGTGCACACACATGTCTGATGGGGACATACATACATGTGTCCCACCTATGCCACACATGCCATGTGTCCACCTGAGGCCTGATGCATGTGTGTATACACGCCAGCCACATGCACAGGACACAGCGTGTATACTGTGGACACGGGCCCAGGGCCCACATCCATGCACTGCACACGCTCCTGGCATGAGCATGGCATGTGTCACACATGGATGCACATGCTCAGCCCTGCACGCAGCTGGCCTCTTTGAGGTTAAGTCATGTGCATGTATGTGTGTGCACGGTCACAGATGCTGCCTGCTGACGTGCGTGCTTCAGCATCAGCTTAGAAGTCCTCCATATACAATCCCATGTGTAGGCACGTACAAGGCACACACATGTGCACACTGCACGCGTGGGTACACGAGTAGACTGTCGTAGCAATGTGTACGTGGTGTATTCACAGATACCCCACGTGCAAACCGTGATGCAGCCAGTGCACCCACATGGAGACATTCCCACATGTTGCCCGCACACTCCGCTGTATATTGTCCTATATACATGTCCTTTGCACACACATGTATGTTGTCAATATACAAGAGTCTTTGTACGATGAAACCCTGTATGCAGAGATGTGTACAAAGCACATACATGTAGACACACACGCAGGAACACTGTCTGGAGCAGGTGCCGCACTCCATGTCCTCACCTCAGCCCGACTCTGCAGGCGCCAGTTCTACAGGAGGCCACAGTGCTCACGCTCGATGAGGCGCACACACACCTGCGCACACACGCTGAGAACCTGCAATGTGCTCTCACAGGCAGACCCACACTGGTCACAGTATAGCAGCCCGCACGTGTGAAGTGTGTGTGCCTGACGCTCACGGGCTGGGTGTGGGCCCAGTGAGCTTGCCTGGTGGGAAGGGGGCCTCTGGTCATCCGCCAGGGTCAAACTGCCCTGGGCTGGGAACGAGTGGCCTCCGAGTGACTCTGCTGCTGTGCCCAGCACAAGGCTCATGCACCCTCACCTGCTCTAGTGCCTGCATTCTGGAACACGTGTGTCTGTAGCACAGGCACGTGATGCACTAGGAGACACGAAGCCGCTCCAGTGCTTACGTGCATGAGCCTCCATGTGTGCAGAGCCGGAACTGGCAGTGCCAGGTGGGGACAGGAGCGCAGGGTCTGGGGTTCGGGTGCAGTCCTTGCCTAGCTGCGTGACCTTGGGCAAGTCTATTCTCTAGAGCTTCCGTCCACCTCCTCGTCTGTCCGGCAAGGACAGGCAGACCACGCTGGTGGGGCTCACGCTGCACGGGGGGCCTCTGTGGGATGAGTGCGTGCCTATGTGCACGTGGGGTGTGTTCGCACATGTATATGCACAGACAGTACACACATGCGCGGCTCATGAGAAGATGTTTATTTTGTACATGGACGTACAGACATGCATGGCCAGGGACACAGGAGATCGCTGGTGGGTGTGGCGGTGCGCTGTGACCTTGAGCGAGCCAGCCCCACTCCTGCCTCAGTTCCTCCTCTACACTGAGGGTCGTGCCAGGCGCCCTCCAGGTAGGTGCCGCCCACCCCTGTGACCAGTGCCTGCCCACCCTGGGCCACAGCTAAGGCCATGGGCACAGGAGCCCCGACAGCCTCTGCTGCCCCAGGCATGACCCTCCCACAGCCGGGCCTTCCGGTGACCACCACCTGCGCTGCCGGCCGCAGGCCTCCAGGCCTGGGACCCGGGCCGCTCCGGCACCGCCTGGAGGCCCCTTCTCCGAAGTCACGGGGTGTCCTGACCCGGCAGCCTCGGTCCCCGGAGACACCCCTCCCCCAGCGCCTGGCTCAAGGCGCCCGGGTCTAGCTCGGCCCTGCGGCCCGGGCCGCGCAGCCCGCCGCTCATGTGTGATCACGCGTGTCGTGCCCGGCCCCGGGGCGCACTCACCGGCCACAGTTGCAGTGGCAGACGCGGTCCTCGCCCCGCAGGTGCGGGAGGATGTAGTTGTGGAAGCGGTCCAGCAGCGCGTTCATGTCCATCAAGCACGCGATGGCCTAGAAGAGCCCATGACCGGTGAGGGGAGAGGTGGGCCGGGCTGGAGGGGGCCGGGAGCGGAGGGAGCGCGGGGCCCTGGAG